ATATTCTCAGTGTTTGCCTTTTTTGGCTCTTGGTTAATGTAAAAGCTTTTAAGAGCCTCTTTGACTGAAAATAGGTTTCCTTTAAGGTTTTGTATTTTGATTTGGTCTAGTGACCAGGGCCATGTACTGCTGGCTGTAATTTACTCTTTGAAGTGGCCCCAAGCTACTATGTATGGTTTCCATCTGCCTGGCCATCTTTTGGTTTTGCATGGGTGTTGAGATAGGATATTTGTGATTGGAGTGCATCTTTTGCTTTGTAGACATTGATATGTTATTTCTCTTTCTGTCTTAGCCCTGAATGTGTTACTAGAGTGGAGCTTAATTAGAATAGAAATGAGCCTTATGTCTAACAAGTCTTTTAAAATTGGGGCTGCAATAAAAAAAACTCTCTCTGGTTCATAACCAGAAATATAACAAATACAAATTTTGTTGCAAAAACTAGAAGTTACTTTTCAAAACTCAAGTGGAGTAAAGACTTTTACTCCAAAAAAGTGCAAACTATTTGTAAATATGAACAAGTTACAACACAAGAAAGTCAAACTTGATACAGTTAAAGAAAGAATCTTTAGCTTTACTGAAAATGAAGAAAACAAAAAAAATAAAGAAAACTTCATAGCAACAAAAATAAGCAACATTCCAAGAGTTAAAAACAGAACCAAAGCCTTTACTAGCTTAGCAATAGAAGAAGCTCCTACAAACTGGGCTTCACATGTAGAGGAGGAGCTAGAAGTCAAAAAAAAAAACAAATCAAAGCTCTTCAAAAAAGGCAAAACACATCTTAACCAAGCTAACCAAACTAGAACAACTAATGATCAACAAGATGCAAACAACAACCAAAAGGTAATATATGCTTTAGAAAACAACAAACAACACAAAGTTGAAGAAGACAAAAAACATGTACAAAACGTGACAGGTAACAACAACCAAAAACACATACAACACATGCCAGAAGACAGTAATCAAGCACATATAATAGGAATAAATAAGGAAACACACAGAAATGCAAGAACTGATCTTACAGACAAAATAGAACCTGACAATAAAGAGGTAAGGCCAAAGCAGTAGTCTAATCTGTTTTCTAAACTAAAAGGTGGAAAAGCCACCTTTGCAAATCACTCACTTAGACAGAAAATATACTCTAAGAATGAGAATGCTTTAATCATCAATATACAAAGCTTAAGCAATATCTCCAACAATGATATAATTTCAGCTCTTACTTCAAGTCTGGGTAAAGACCTTATTAGAGCCAAAATTCATATGACTAAAGGCAAAAGAACATCACTCGAAGTGGTGTTTAAGAACAAAGAGAAAGTACAATTTTATACTACAGAAGGAATTGTGCTTTTCAAACAGACCCTACTAGGACACATTCCAGTAAACTTGAACTGTTTCTTTCTGACTGTAAAGCTTAGAAACATGCCAATAAGAGATATAAAATCAATTAGCAATAAGGTTCTAGAAACTTTTCAATATATAGAACAAATAGCTTCAATCAAACCATTATTTTTTGAAGAAACAACAGTTTGTTCAGACCAATGGCTAATTACTTTCAAGACTACAGATAACCCAGAGCTGTTCACAAAAATTCCAAGAAGTACATATATTAATAACTATAAGGTTACCACTGACTGAAAGAAAGCCCCAAAAATTTGCTTCTATTGTGAAAGAGAAGGGCATATTAAAAGAGGTTGCACAGAGCTTAAAGCCTCAATTGAAGCTAGAAGAATGCTTAAGGAAGCAAATAAATTAAAAGAACAGGCAGGAGCTCAAAACTCAAGTACATCTACAATAACAGAATTCAGCAAAGACAACCCATATATTGGCAAAAACACAGAGAAAGAACAAGAAAAGGACCTTAACACAGAAGCCACAAATACAGTTACAGAAGATCTAGAAATGTCCATATCAGATAGAGAGGTAGAACTAATAGATAGCCTTAGCAATGCTAAGTCTATCATCAAGAATATGAAAATAGACCTCTCTAACAAAATAAACAGCCCAGAACAAAGTCAAGACATGAATGAAGTTGCATTCTTTACTCTTGTTACTCATAGAAAGCAAAAAACAAAAAGCAAAAGAAAAGACCAAATAAAAGCTAATCATCCTTATAGAAATGTAAACAGTCCCTCACGGGAATGTCTACTACACAGAACCACCTTCAACCAACATTTATTAATGATTAAAATCGGAACATTAAATGTCAAAGAATTAAATGACAAACAAAAGGCTCAAAAAACATTTACACTTTTAAAGACACACAAATTAGACATAATAATAATTCAAGAAACAAACTTATGAGACAACTCTACTAGAAACTTTTTAGCAAAGCAATAGGGTTTTGACTTTTTCTAATTTCCAAAAACTGCTATCTTGGCAGGCAAGAAAAGCATAAAAATAACAAACACAAAAGAACTACACAATGGCTGAGCAATAAGTGCAGATATAGAAATTAAACAACAAACATTCTCAGTTACAAACGTATATGCACCTTCTAGCCTAAAAGAAAAAATCTTCTTCTTTAAAAATTGGTCTTCTTCTACTAACAACAAAGGCATTAGCATTATAGCAGAAGACTTCAACACAAACCTAGACCCTGAAATCAATAGAATAAGCCAAGCAACAGCACAGAACAATCAGTCCAGAGAACTAGTAAAAGATCTTATAAAAGACTATATAGACATTCTATCAAACAACACAAGACAACAGAAAAATAGCCACCCAGCTAGACTATATATTTATTGAAGCAGAATACAGTCATCTTAGCAAAACACATATACACAGTTTGGTAACTCAAATCATTTACTGGTAATAACTAAACTCAGCTCAAAAAATGGTCAAGCCTTTAGATCATCCTGGAAGTTTGTTAGAAAACTCTGGAACATCTTAGAATTAAAAGCAGATATTATTAAAGAACTAGAAGAATTACATAAGGCAGCCAACTAGGACCTATATAAATGCATTATACAGTCAATAGCCAAAGCCTTTAAACATCCACTGGCATCAGAGAAAAAAATTCAAAGAATATACAAAAAGCTGTGTAATCTAAACAACAAAATAGCAAGAAATCCTAATTTAAAAGAGCTAAAATTAGTAATAGAAGACTTAAAAATGTAGTTACAAGAAGTGTTAGGTCTTCTCTCAGATAAGTAGAGACAAAGGTCCAATGCCAAATGGATAGAAGAAGGAGAAAAATCAACAAAATACTTCTTCTTATTATACAAAATGAAACACATGACCTTATGCAGCACAAAAATCAAGAATCCAGACTTACCAAATGAAAATACACAAGAAACAATGAAAAATATAAAAGAATCATACAAAAAAATATATAAAAAAGAAGATATTGATGTAACTGCTGCACAGCAGATTACTAAAAGCAACTTTTTAAGTTTACTAATGTCTATGCACCTTCAAACATTGAGGACAGAACTACCTTCTTCAACAATTAGGCCCTTTAAGTAGATGATAGATGCATAAACATTATAGCAAGAGATTTTAATACTAATCTCAACCTACAAACAAATAGAATTAGTGACTCATCTCCAACTAGTAATCCCACAAGAGAAATTTTCAAAAAACATATCTCAGAGTTTATAGATTTAACAAGTGTAGAGCAGAGAGAGGAACCCTTTATAACTTATTATCAAAATACTAAAGATGGTAGAAGAATGACTACAAGACTTGATTATATTTTTATTGATGCTAATTATGGACATTGCTGTAAACACATTGTGACTCAGTTTGGAAATTCAAACCACCTGCTGGTAGATTGTAAGCTTCAGTTAACTTCTAACTTCACTAAGGCTAAACAATGGAGATTTGACAAAAACAGTTGGAACAACCCATTGCTCAGAGCAGAAATAATAAAAGAAATTCAAAATGTAATAAACTTCTTCAAATAAAATCTATGCAAATGTAGGATCCAATCAATTACAAGGGCCTTTTGAAAAGAAAATCCAAAGACTTCAAAAAAAAACTTATTAAAATAAACAATAAAATCACTAAAGAAAAGTCAGATAAGCTACTAGCTATAAGTAAAGTTTTTTTTTTTTAAATGCATCTAAGTATGCTTTGTATTTATATATTAAGATAGTACTATATTTATATTGGAGATTTAATATACAGTATCTAAGAATGATATTAATTTTTTTGTATTTTATAAGATGCTGTTTTGTAAAGCAAGTTAACTTCATAATTAAGCCTGGTTTTAACTATATCTGTAAAAAGATCTACATACACTCTTTTTAGACCATATGCATTTGGAAGTGGAGTGAAACTAAACAGGAAAATAAACCACAACAGCAAGACAAACAAACTTAAAAAAGGTTTCAAAGCAAGGGCACTTGTCCTTGTTATAAGAAAAGATCTTTTAAAGCTTTTAATGATACAAAAAGCTTTGGCACTATTAAGGTAAACACCAAAAATGTAAAACCTATACAAGTAGAAGTAGAAGGCAATAACTCAGGTTCACTAGAACATGTCAACAAAAACAACTCTAGCTGGAATGAACAAGTAGCTCAAGAAACCAAGAAACTTAAGGAAATAACAAATATGCATAGAAAAAAGTGACAACATATAGCAATACTTGTAGAACAAGACAACAATACTTTTACACATAGAGGTTATTGAAGGCAACACACTTAATGAAGAGGTTCTTGAAATTAGTATATGTAGCAAAGATAACAACAAAACAACAACATGTGACAAAGAGGTTTTTAAGACTAGTACAGGTAACAAAGACAACATAGAAACAACAACTCAAAATGAGTCAATAAATAAACAAGGGAACTCCACTTCAGAAAGGAATACAAGTTCTAGCTCTAGCAGAATGACTGAACCATTAACAAAAAAATGGTCAAGTTTCTTTTCTAAACTTAAAAGAGGCCAGTCAACTTACTTATTCTTTTCTCCTAGGAACACAATTAAATCAAAAAATAAAAATGCTCTTATCATAGATATACAAAGCCTACAATACTCTTTTAATGAAATTATGTCATTGTTATTCAAAACTACTAAAAATGACATAATTGCAGCTAAACAACATTTTATTAAAGGAACATGATCACATCTAGAAATCATTTTCACAGATAAAGAAAAACTAAAGATCTATGTAACAAAAGGTGTTAAAATTTTTAACAGAACATATTTTGGATATGTTCCAATAAATATAAGGAAATTATTTTTGCCAGTCAAAATCAGAAATGTTCCATTAGGCAACAAAGAAGAACTGTCAGACTCAATCAAAGATTCTTTTGAGAATATATATAAAATGGTATCAATTAAACTCCTGTTAATTGAAGGTATACTATACCTAACAGATCAGTGGGTCATAATTTTTGAGACTACAGGGGATCCATTTTTAGAAGGTAAAATACCAAGGTTTACCCATATTTGGAATAACAAGAGCCATTCACCAACAATATTAAGATTTCAAAAAAAGAATTGGATCATATAGCAAAGATAATTTCACAAATATCAGGCCAGAACAAGAATCTCATGCAGCTAATTCTGCTAACAAAGAAGAAAACCCATACTTGCATGATGATATACCTATTACTGACAGTGCAGGCTTACAAGAAAATGATTTAACACAAGAAGAACAAAATGGACCTTTTTATTTTCGATAGAAATAGACAACAACAAAAGAAACTCTACACTAAGTAAAGATAAGAACCTCTCACCTGACCCAGTACTAGCACCTCATAATGAACTGGCTGCACTGTATCTTAATGCAGAACCACAGACAGGAAACAAAAATACAAATAAAACATGAGGAGGCCTCTATGCCATCTTGTAAAAAAGACAAAGATAAAAAAGAAAAAAGCATACAAGATAAAAACCAATTAAGGCCTAGCCCATACAGAAAACAATGCAATGAGGGACTGCTTTCACAAACCTAATTAGATCAAAATTTTCATACATTTACATGCCTTCAAAATTCAAACTCAAAATTGCAACTTTGAATGTAAAAGAACTAAATGATTAAGGCAAACAACAAAAAACATTAACACTCTTAAAATCCCACAATTTAGATTTAATAATGATACAAGAAACTAATCTCAACAATGAAAACACTAGGAACTTTTTAAAATACCAATAGATATATAACTTATTCTGGTCAGATAAAGTGGCAATTCTGGCAGAAAACAGAAACATTGCCTTTAAATATATGAAAATACACCAAGATGGATAAGTTATCACAGCATTATTTGTCTACAAAGGTCTCTTATTTCATATTACTAATGTGTATGCACCTCCTAAAACTAGCAACAGAGTAATATTTTTTGATAACTGGACTTCTCAAATAAAAGAAAATGCAATAAACATTATAGCAGAAGACTTTAACATAAACCTAAAATCTGAAGTGAACAGAATAAGTTAACTGTTGGAATTAACAAGAAATCTTTTAAACACTGCAGAAATTGCAAGCTCTAAGCCTTTTCTTACATTTCACCAAAAAATACAAGGTGATAACATGATGGCAACATGTTTAGACTACATATTTATTAATGAAAATCAATCACATTTAGTCTCTAAGGTTATCACACATTTTGGTAACTCTGACCATCTCCTAGTTAGTTGCTCACTTAACTTCAACTAGAAATAAAAACAACTATTTAGTTAATGATTTGATAAAACTATGTTCAATAATGAAAAACTTAAAAAAGAAGTCTTTGAAGAAATTGGTAAAACAAATACAACAGAGGACTAGGATCTTTGCAAGGTCTACATATAATCGATTATAAAAGCATTTAGGAAGCCAAGAACAACAGAAAGCAAAATCTCAAAGCTTAACAATGAAATAACAAAGTTAAGTAAAAAAATAGTTGGTTCATCAAACTCAGAAAGCTTGTTTTTATCTCTAGATGAGCTTAATGTACAGCTACAAGAGGAGTTAACATTATTGGCAGAAAAATGGCATATCTGGTCCAAAGTGCAATGGATAGAACAAGGTGAAAAATCAACAAAATATTTCTTTGCAAAATATAAACAAAGAAAATCCATTGCAGTCTACTCAGAAATTAAAATTCCAAATAGTAAGCATCAAAATAGTAAGGACATTTTACAGTATGTTAAAAAACAATATGCAGAAACCTACAAAGCAGAAGAGTTTGACAAGAAAGCAGCAAAAGAAATCACAGAAAACCTTCTACAAGTACAATATGAATCCAACAAAGGCCTAGTTAAAAGAATTACACAAGAAAAAATAATAGAAGTTATATGAAACCTACCAAATAACAAGTTCTCTGGAATAGATGGCTTAACTTATGAATTCTACAAACTTATAGAAGAAGCAGTGGCACCAGTTTTGGAGAAGATTTTTAATAAAACTCTAAACTCTGGCATTCTTTCAGTCTTATGATACAAGAACCTAATCATACTAATTCTGAAAAAACCAGAAGAGCTTGACAATATAAACAACTGGAGACCTATTTTGCTAGTTAATAGTAATGCAAAAATTTTTATAAAAATCATAGCTAACAGATTAAGGATAGGGGGTATGTAGACCATTTTTTATATAGTTTTATATGTTTTTTAGAATTTTCATATAAAATCAACATATGCTACTAATAAACCTTTTTTAAATTACATCTAATTTTTATTAAAATTTTACAAAAATATAAATAAAATAATTTATCTATTATGATAAAATT